GAAGGAGCTTACATCATGGACCTCCCCATCTCTAAACCTGCTTTTTTCCTTGCTCTAGAGAGTTGCTCCTAGGGAGTTTTATTTTGTGGGTGAAGCAAGGAAGGGGAGCTCAGGAAAGTATCATCTGGCACACAGCAACGCAGATCCTTCCTTATGGTTCAAGTTCCCATAGCCGTACCTCTCCCACCTCTGCAGCAGTTGCTGGCACTGTGGAGAAGTGGTGCTGACCCAGAGATCCGTTGCTACAGATAGGCCCTGAGTTTCCAGAGCAGACCAAAACATGAGCTGGTTCCCTTGAAAGTTCCTTTCCCACATGCTGAGCTGCATTTCTCCCCCATCCAGCTCTGTATGAGGACACCCAGGTCATCAGGACAATGATCTCCCTTTCCCATGAATCCTATGTGAACCTGGGGGCAGCCCAAGCACCTGATACTCATGTTCTGCAGGTGAGCCCTGGCTGATGCAGCAGAATCCGCATCCGCAGGTTTCTGCTGAGGAGACAAGAATCTCCTGAGAAAGATCTGGTCTTCCAGGCTAGTTCAGCAAAGCCCAAACGATAACTTAAAAAAAAAAGGCCATAGCATAGCACATCCTCTGCCATCCATCCCCGCTCTCTGAGGCTCTTCAGGTATTCCTGAGATGTTCTGAAGCATCCTACTGGGCCTTGGCTTAATAAAATGGAGATAAATCTTAACCTAGGGTTGAGTCCTTCCAGCTGTCTGGCTGCCTTTCCATCTCTTTTCTGAGCTTGGTCCCACTGATCCGTATTCTTCTCTTTATAGGTGTCTCTGTGGGAAAAGAGGGTGAGGTCCCAGCAACTTTCTGGCTGGGACAGGGATTTGAGGTACTGGGATATCCCAGAGCTCTCTTCCAAAACCTTGTGTGGCTTTTGGGCCGTGGGCTATTTGGACTCTGATCATGTCTTTGGTAGGTGACTGGGCATGGTGGGGCAGAGTGGGTGTTTTTGTGGGTGCTCCACAATGCTTTGACTGCTAAACACTTCCTTCTACACTCTGCAAATCACAAAGGTGATTTGCTGCCTTTGGCAGCCATTGAGGTATCTAATTCCCAGTGAAGGAAATAGGGTCTAGGTTTTCTTACCACTGCTCCTGTGCCTGTAAAACAGTTTGGCACTGCCACCCACGAGCGCTGCACCACAGGCTGCAAGGGGACCAGTACTGAAGAGGTGGTAGGATTTATCTTTCTTAACTTCAGACCTTTGGAGGCCTAAGTGAGACCATTGGAGTCACAGGAAGAGAGGCTGGAGCCTCCAGAGATATGTTGTTCCACCCTAAAATCGGTGTCCAAGTCAAATGATGGGGCTAGTCACAATTTGGAGGGTGCAGCATCTCTGCAATGACTTAGACATGGAGTTGAGCCATCCAGCGAAGCCCCAACACCTCTGTGTTAGCAGACAGGCGTTATTTGACATAGATCTGTTGTAAATGCCTGTTGCACATTGCTGGGATTTGGGGGAGGTGGGGTGGCAGTCCACGCAGGGCTGCTGTTTTTCTGTCCTCGGTGTGTGGTGTCTCCTCCCAGTCTCTCATCGCCTGCGAGCATCACCAGCGTGCTCCCTCGCCAGTCCCCACCAGCCCGGCCACGCCGGCCTGCCATCGAGTCCCCACCAAAGCACAAAAGTTCGTCGAAAGTCCAAGGCACATTGCAGCTGGCTCTCCAGCAGCCAACGCCCTGGGCTAGTGGAGGGACTGGCCACAGCCTGCATCCCCAGCCCTGGCTGCTCCTCCTCCAGTGGGTGCCAGATGGCTGGGCGGCCGCCTGAGATCACTGCCTGACTTCACCGGGGCGGTGGTCCAGAGCAGTGACCCCGGCCCCGGGCATCATGCCTGAGCCAGCTCCACTGCCCACCCCTGCGGGGCTGTGATGAGGGGCTGGGGGTTGTTCACCGCCACGCTGGGGGGTTGTGCCTGCGATGGGAACATAAACGAGCTGTTCTTCGTTAGGGCGGTGAAAGCTCCCTTCTGTCTGGGCTGATCCTGGTGGCCTCTGGGGAGCTCAGGAATGCTTTTGCGCAGTTGTGCTCTCCAGCTGCCAAAGGGTGCGAGATGAGATGACCCTCCTCGCTCTGCATCCCTTCTCTGCCTGCATTATCCCTTCCCTGCCTGCATTTTGGGAATGCAAACACAGAGGCTGTCCCTGTGTGCTGACCAGGAGGGAGGGATTTTTATTTTCCCGTCATGGTCACAGGTGCAAGTCCAGGCTGGGGAGAAACTTGCTTGCCGATTCCAGGAGGTTTCGGTGTAGGTCAGGCACGTTGCCTCCTCTGGAGTGGGGACAAGTGGGGAGGGCAGCTCGGGGAAATGCACAATGGAGGTTTTTACCAGCCAGGGACCTGAGCACAGACTGTATAAGACCCAATCTGAAGAAAAATAGGTACATCTCTAACATGATTTGCAAGTGCAAAAACTGTTTTCAGGGACAGCACTGATGTTCCTCCTCTCCCAGCCACAGGGAGCCCAGGGAAGCTGCTTTGCGTTGCCCAGCAAAACCAGTACCATAAAGGATAGGGGAGGAAGGAGAAGTGGGAGGATCCTGTCCCTCCAGCAGGTACTGGAAAGAAGACAAATACTGATTTCAGCAATCATTGCCTCTGCCTGCCTGTGCGTGTAAAGTCCAGCAGGAAGACATAAGAAACCGGCATGGGGCTGGGCAGATAATGGAGCCACCGTAGATAGGAGTGTGCAGCTGTTTGTGCTGGGGAGCTGTTACTATGGGTGAAGCTCTGAGGGCGTGTCTGGATCTGGCTCTGATTAGCACTTCAGGGTCCCAATCGATGGGAACTGTAGAAAAATCCCTCCCTCTCTCTCCCAGCCTCTCCTGCAAATTTTTTCCCTTCTCCGTCGCCAGCGTCAGCTGCCTAGGTGTCTGATCCCAAAATGTTGTCCCTCCCCACAAAAAGAAAGCCAAGGTATCAGAGATGACCCAACTAGGTTTGGAAAATGCCATGTTGTTGTAAGCAGTGGTGGGACAGAAACTGGAGTCCTCCAAAGACAGCTGCTGCCAGGGCCCAAAATCACGAGGAGCCCATTGGAAAAGCAGGGTGTGGGGTCACTCGTGAAGTCCTGCAGCTGAGGATATTCCCTTCATGGGAATACTGAGAGGTAACTCTTCATCCTGGGTGTAAATCCTCCCCCGATGGAGAGCAGAGACATTGTGCACTGCTGCACTGCGCTGTATAGTGGGAGACACTTGCTGCTCTCTAAACAGCGATGTTTCAGCCCTGGGTAATGTAAGCCTTAATTTCCATCTTGCAGTGACCACCTCTGAACAGAGATGGATGAGTTTGGGGGGCAAAGGAAGGACTGGGCAATTTCTCAAGGTCTCCACCAGTGATATTTGCTGTCGTTCCTATGCTAGAGTTTTAACTGAGATCCCCGTTCAGTCTTTCTCCAACACCTTCCTGCTTAAGTGGTATATTATGCTGTAAATAATGATAATAATCAAGAGGGCTGTTTATCAAGGTTGTGCTATGGTTGTGTTTGTCTGTCTTCGGTGCATGTGCTTTTTTTTGGGTGTTTGAACAGGACAGCAAGTCCTCTAGCACTGGGCTGTGGATGTAACGAGCACGGTTCATTAGGAGCAGCGGTCAATAGATACTTTTCCTACCTTCCTGCCAGAAACTGATGAAAATGTATTACAAAAATTCAAGCCTTGTAGCCATTTGGAACAAGCTTCCTGCTCCTCTCTGTAATGTCAGCAAGCAGGGAGGCAGTGTTCTCACACGCCTCACATGTACATACACACCCCCTGTGGGGACCTCACGCATGTCCAAAATGTCTGGAGCACAGAAGCACCCAGGCTGGGTTTTGGCTCAGGTGCAGGAAGGTGCACAGGCTGCTGTGGGTGGTGTCTGTCAAGGACAGCAGGCAGCTGGACAGGAGCAATTTGCAGCTTCCCAGAAACTGTGCCTTTTGCTACCCTGTGTCCCTTCTGTAGGGGCTGGGTGAAAGGGTTGGAAATGGTTCCTGCTAGGGAGCTCCCTCCGGCCAGCCTAGAGTGGGGAGAGGGCACTAAGCCCTCAGCCCTAGGGCAGAGGACAGCCCACGCTCTGCTATGGGTATTTTCTGCCTCCCAGGGCTCATGGGAGCCTGCATGAGTTAGGACATCAATAGCACAGTCCTTCTGGCCTGACTGGTGTCAGGAGCATCTGCAGATGCTCGCCCCTCTTTCCCGGGGTCCTCTGCGGGCACTGCAGCATCAGACTAGACACGAAGCCATGGGGTGGCTCTGAGTTGAGTTCAGTCTCCTGCTTTGGCTGTAGGGTCAATATCCCCTTGAGGTGCCTACAGCCCAGGTCTCACCTCCAGGCTAGCCAGGAATCCTTGGCTTGGCCAGCAATGTCATTCTTCTGTGTGGCCAGCAAGCCTGGGACCTCCGCTGAGAGGTCACCTCCTCCTGAGGAGTGGGGAGAAGGGATGGAGACATGAGAGCCGCCCACCTCCTGCTTCCCACTGTCCCCCGGCTGGGGACATGGTGAGTAGGGCTTTCCTACCTATGCCTTGTGCCCATAACTGAAATACAGAGATGTAGCATGCTCTGCCTCTGCAAACAGCCGCCTGCCTGAAACCCAATCACAGGGTTGGCAAGGTGGATGGGAGTAGGCAGGAAGGGGCTGTGCAGCAGGCCAGATCCTGACAGCAAGGGAGGAGGAACTCCAGGCTCTTTCCTGAGTCTCAGACAGGCACAATTAGGGCTCATTTGGGGAAACTGGGCATTGCTCCTAATGGCGTCTTGTTGGGAGCAGAGGTGCAGCTGTGCCAGCGCTGCCTGCCATGAGCCAGCCCCGAGGTGGCAGATGGAGGTTAACAAATGAGCTGGTGGGTGAGGTTGGGCAAGTGGGTACAGGGGCTCTGGAGATGCTGACGTGGGTGTCTGGTCCCAGCTGCAGTGGCTGGCTGCAGGTTGATGTGGATGAGCTGGTCAGGAGGCGAAGCGGGGGGACTGCGTGGGTGCTGCCTGCCCCGGCTCTGCCTTTCCCTCGTGTTGACACCGGGAAGGTCCCTCACCAGCTGTGCAGAGCTTGTCAGGAGTTTGTGTGTCAGAGACCTCTGCCCTTCAGTTTGTCAAAATTGTCTTGTTAGTATCAAATTAGGGAACAGAGAGTCGAGTGCATGAGCAGGGACTGCTTCAGCCTTGTTGCTGAAGGAAATTGGGCTATAAAAAACATCAGAGGGTGGAGGAAAGCGATCCCTCCAAGGCATCCATGGGGTTCTCACTGGGAAATAAAGACCCAAAGTAGACACCACTGCTGAGCAGCAAACGGAGGAGTCCCACCACAGCCACCCCTTGTTGTATCGCTACTTGAGCAGGGACCTCTGCGTGCCAGGGAAGGCGAAGGGGGTCAGTTTCAGGTGGGTTTTCGGCCCTGCAGGAGGCACTGGACTTGGACTGGGAGCTGGGCAGCTTTCAGTGCATGCCAGCCCCCGGCTCCCTCTGCAGAGCACTGGGCTCCCGTGGCTCCCATCTCCCCTTGCTGAAAGGGCTCCACGTTAGTCCCTAGCTCCCAGCCCACTCTGGCTGGCTGGCAGCTTGCAGGAAGCAGAGGAATAAGGTGTTTGCAGAGGCTGAAGCTGCTGACCTTATGAGCAGGCTGAGCTACTGCAAACACCCATTGCACCGCATGTCCTGGGAACTGGACACCCCGTGCTGTTTTTCTGACTGAATCCTTGCTGCCTTGTCCCATTTGTTTGTTATTCTAGGTTTGCCCAGGTAGCCGTGCCTCTCATATTTGTTATTGCAGAGGTAATGAGCTGTGCCCCTCTTGTGTTATTGTAGGGTTGCCTGTGCTGGTGTGAATCCACCCCTCCCCTTAATTACCACAGGGCAGCCCAGGGAGATGCCCTGGCTCTGCTGTGTCCAGCCCTGGAAGTCGGTGCCAGAGGGGATTCCTGGGACAGATCACAGCGTGTTTCATTGCCATGGAAGGGCTTAGTCACTGCGGATGTCTCCTTTCGGACCTCGGATTGCTGGAACATCTTTGTGGCAAAGGATGCTTTCTACTGCACCTCGTATAATGTCATCTCCTACGGGACAAGATCATTCCCAATTTAATCAATTTCTTCCCTATCCCTTGTCTGTCATCCCATTATGATAGAGGAGCCCCAACCTGTGGGGGCCTTTGAGTCCTGCAGCAAGAAAAAAAAACGAAACATATGAGCATCACGGGGCAAAATGGCAAGAGGATCCCATCCTGGGGATACGTGCGAGTCCTGGGGATGGTGCATGGGGTTAGTTATGTTGCTGTGGGCAGTTAGGAGGGTGCTGAGTCTGGGATGCTGACCCAGCTCTGTTCTTGTGGAAAGAGAAAAAAAAAAGGCTGCTTTAATAAATGAGTGGCTGTGGAAAACTTGGCAATTTTGCTGGGAGAGGGCAGGTCCGCCTTGGCAAGGAGGGAGGGGAGACTGGCAGCTGCTGCAGTGGGCGTCCAGCGACCAGCCTGTCCCCTCGGCCACCTCCAAGGCCACCCCACTGGGGGTGTGTGTGACAGGCCAGTGCTGCCATCTGCCGCTGAGCAGTGCGTCTGTCCCCGCTCCTGGGTGTCCCCCAGGCACCCCTGGGCAGCCTGGTGGGGCAGAGCCATCCTCCTCCCCTCTGGGGGTGCATCTGGGCTCCAGGGAGCAGCCAGTCTGCAGGGAAACTCCCTTTTTCCTTTTTGGGGGGGGGGGGGGCGGTTATCCGCTTTTATTTTCATCCTGAGCCTTTTTCTTTTGTCCCAATGGTGATGTTGCAATAAGAGCCAAAATTGGTGCCCTGCTATCTTCACCATAGGGTTGCAGGAGGGGATGAGCCAGGTTCACTGGCATTGGAGTCGCAGGAGACACCATACAGGGAGGGATTTCAGCTGCTCTGATGCTTTTCCTCCCGCCACGGTGGGTTCCCCTGTGCTTGCCCGCTGGCCCCAGCACAAACCTGGCATCAGCACAGGGCTGCTGGGAATCAGGGACTGGGAGACCGGGAGCCTCAGGAGCCTTAAACTCTATTCAAATTTAGTCCAGAAATAACCCTTTTTCACTCCAGCGGCTGTACTAAATGTCACAAGTCATCTAAGTTTAGCCTGTCACCAGCTCTCTCCTATATATAACTGCACAGGGCTCCTGACTGCATCCTGCCAGCACAGGTTACACTGGGGCAATCCGGGGGGTGTATAGGAAGGCAACTGCCATGGGCAGAGCCTAAACGAGCTCCTCCCTTGCCGTCGGTACTATCAGTGGCGGCTGCGGCCAGGCAGCATTGCTCAGCAGCATTACCCTGGGCTTTGCCGGCTGCTCGGTGGGTGCCAGTGGACGGGGGCTGGTTTGGTCCCATGAGCGTGGGGCTGCAGACTGAGGACCCTGGAGATCCCAGCACTTGTCAGACGTGTCTTCGGCATTGCTGCCAAAGTGTCTGCCCAATCACGTGGTGGCTTTGCTGTGGGATTGACTTTGACTTTGGAGTTGTCTCATCTTTGAGCATCCCTGGCTTTTGCTCTTGAATCTGCAAGGTGGGGTGTGAATTTGTCACTTAATCCTCTCACCATGGCTAAAGAGGGGCTTCTCTGCCACATTTTGTGTGTCATCTCGTCTTTTCTGGGTTTGGGATAATGGTGCCACCAGCCCTTCTCCACTGACACGCTGCAAACGATGGTGACCATGTATGTAGGAGCCCTTCCTGACCCCCAACTCCTCCATGCCTTCAGACACCTTCCTGTCCTGAGCTCGGGGGTCACATGAAAGCCATGCCAAGTCCCACACACTGGGATAAAGCCAGGGCTGTAGGCAGCACCTGGGAAAGGGATTTCTTTGGTCATTTGTTCCCACCCTGCATCGTGCAAAGATGTCCTCTGGGGTCGGACAGCAGGCTCTCTGTGCAAAAGCAAGCCCCAGTCAGCTCATGGAGACCTGACGGTTTGGTACCCCTTCCCTTCCAGAACGGGAGTCCCGAGAGCATGAGGAGCCGACCACATCGGAGATGACAGAGGAGACCTACCCACCCAAGGCCTACCGGCCCAAACACGGGCGCCTCTCCGAGCTCAAGGCTGAGGCCCTGAAGAAGGACCGCCGGAAGAAGCTGACCCTGGCCAAGTTTGTGGGCATGGCGGAGAACACAGCGCACCCCCGCATCGTCATCCCAGAGCTCCGGCAAGAGTTTGAGCTGGTGGGTGCTTTCACCTTCCTTCTGCAGGCAGGGGGCTGTGGGAGGGCTTTGCCCCCTGGGGAGCAGGTGTCATTAAGGGGGGACAGGGGACCTGGGGGCATTGAAGCTGGAGGCTTGCTGCAGGATGTTCCCCTTCTCATGCTCCATCTTCTCCCTGTTCGCAGGGCCCCTGCCGCAGGCACATGGAGGCATCCCTGCAGGAGCTCAAGAGCAGCCAGCGGATGGTCCCCCGTGCCGTCCACCTCCCCAACTGCGACCGAAAAGGCTTCTACAAGAGGAAGCAGGTAAGAGCGAGCCCCACAGAGGGATGCTTCCCACCCAGCGAGGGTCCGCTGCCCTGGATGGAAAGGATGGAGGTTTTTCTGCTGCTGGGCTGTTGGGGAGGTTGCTGTGAGCATCTCCAGGCACAGCTGGTGGTGGGTGGCCTTCTTGACGGCTCTGAGCGCCGGCCAGCCTGAGGCGAGCATCCTGAAGGAGCTGGTGTGGGAGGAGGAAAAGTCAGAGAGCCCCGGGCTGGGGTAGCAGCGGGGATGGAGATGTGCTGAAAGCAGAAAGCAGGAGCTAGGTCCTACCCAGGGGATTGCATTGCTGGGGTGAAAGAGGCAAAGCGCAGGGCTGATCCCGACCCCCCGCGTGAGGGAGCCATGCAGCATCTGGTGGCCAGCTCCTGATCTCTGCCCTTGGGTGTCTCCCCAGTGCAAGCCCTCCCGAGGCCGGAAGCGTGGGTTGTGTTGGTGCGTGGACAAATACGGCATGAAGCTGCCAGGGACTGACTACCTGAGCGGAGACCTGCAGTGCCACGCGTTCGACAGCAGCAACGTGGAGTGAAGTCGCATCCCCTCCCTCTGCCCCATCACTACCTACCCAGGCTCCCTTCCACCCTCCCCTCCGCACCTCCCCGCGCCCCGGGACTCCGATTCCTTTCATCTCATGTAAGAAGAAAAAAAGAAAGGAAAAGAAAAAAGAGAAGGGAAGGAAAAGAAAAAAGAGAAAGGAAGGAAAAGGAAAAAAGAGAAAGGGAAAGAAAGAAGTAAAGAAAGGAGAAGCAAAAAGAGAGAAAAGAAAGGAGAAAAGAAAGGAAAAGAAAAAAAATAAGAAAAAAAAAAAAAAAAAAAAAAGAAAAAAGAAAAGAAAAGAAAAGAAAAGAAAAGAAAAGAAAAGAAAAGAAAAGAAAAGAAAAGAAAAGAAAAGAAAAGAAAAGAGAAAAGAAAAGAGAAAAGAAAAGAGAAAAGAGGAGAGAAAAGAACAGAAAAGAAAAGAAAAGAAAAGAAAAGAAAAGAGAAAAACAAACCTTGAAGAAACTGAGGACTCGGAATCTACAGCAGCCTCTTGACAACAGGACTCAGCAAGGAAAGGACAGAGCCAGAGACAAACCAGCCACGGCCGCTCTGCCATCCCACACCTCTCCCCAACGCCACCCGTGACCTCCTGCTGCAAGCAGAGGCCACCCCGATGTAGGAAGCTGTCCGAGTTGGTGATTTTCCAGTACGGGTTTCGGGCGGGTTAATTTTTTTTTTCGGGTTAGCCAGTCATTTTCTAAAGGGTCTCAAAAGAAAACCTTGCAGCCACCAGCGTTCCCCCTCCTTGCCGTGGTCCTCCAGAGTCTCCTCCCCACATTGCTGAGACTCACTCAAGTCGATTTGATTTGACTTCAGTCTCAAATGACCGCCCCGGATCCGGCAGATTTCGACACATCAGGAGGAGGAGTGGGACTGCTGGCTTCGTGTCTAGAGATGAGCTGGGGAGGGAAACCCAGCTCCTGCAACAGCATGAATACTCCCCCCTCAAAATATTCGTGGACTTCAAAAAGAAATCATCCAAAAAGGAAAGATATCCTTCTCCATCCGGTTACTTTCGAACGGGAGGTCAGAAATCTTTTTGGACAAGCGGGACTCTGACCGTTGTCCATCCAGGTGTGGAAGCGTTTGTCGCCTGCATGCATGTGCATGTGTGCAAGCGTGTGTGTGCACGGATGTGGCTTTTCCTCCTTGCAAAACTTCACCTCGAAACCTGCAATCTGGAGGGCCTAACTGTAAGCAGGGGGAGAGATGCTGCCCCCTCCCAAAAAATAATAATAACCTGCCGGACTAAGCACAGGAGTAGAGTTATGGAGGAGCATCGGTGCCTGCGGGATCAGGGCCCTGCCGACAGCAAGGGCTGCATCCAAGCCAACCCCACAGATACTCCATCGCTGTCCAGACTGAAGCATCCCTATGTGGGGACAGGGAGATCAGGGCCAAAACTCTTCACCACCCTTTGCCACCATGAAGAAGAACAACTATGGGGATTTTTTTTTTTTTCCCCACAGCCAAAAAAGTGGTTTGCTCCAGGGGAAAAAAAAAACAAACCTACACTTTGTTTTATCTTGGATTTTTGTTAAGGTTGGTTTATAGCCTTCCCCGTGGGTAGGAAAACGCCAGTCTCCATCCTTTTGCATTGAGGATACTGCTCACCTTGCCACATCTGATTCCTGCCACCTTGCAGTAAGATCCTGCGATGGGCCCTCACCTTTAACCTGGGATCCAGCTCCTTGTTGAGTGACAGTAGCCACCACGCCGCAGAGACCCACTGACTCAGGCATGCTGGGACAGCCCTCAGCTGCCTTCCTGACTTTTTTGTTGTTTTTAATTTTTACGTTCGGTTTTGGGACTGTTGTTCTCGTTTCCCAATGACAAGGGTCTCCAGGATGTTGGTGCTCGGAGGAGAACCTGCAGCGAAGGGAAGGAAGGAAAGGAAAGCGAGCCGTGGGGTCTGGGTGCTGCAGTCCCAGTGGGCAAACACGCACCCACCGGGGACCACATCCCACTGCCACAGCTGTAGCTGGCAGCCGGCACTGCCCAAAGGACACAGCTGATCTCAGGGGGAAGGCTTCTGCGCCCCTGAAGCCCCTTTGAGCATGCTGGAGCTGGGCAGGGAGGAAAGGGGGTCTGCAGCACCACCGGATCCCCGCCAGCAGGGATGGGACAAGAGGGATTTGACACTGAGGGGCTCCGGCGGAGGCTCCTCTCCATCACGGATTGGGCACCCTTGTAGCCTCCCACGGCAGGGCATCGCTCCCCCGAGCATCCTGCAGGCCCCCCACCAGGACACTTGCCCAGATCGAGGGCAGGACTGGACAGCCCGCAGTTATTTCCCCCGGAGTTATGGTGGGGGTGAGTTTCGCCAGTGGACTTCCACGGAGACCCAGTAGGGCACATTTGGAGCTGGGGGTGAGGCGTCTTCCCTTGCCAAAAAGAAGCGGGTGCCACCAAATGCAGATCTGTCCCCGCAAAAAAACCCGCAGGAGCGGGTTGACCCCTATGTTGCTGGAGAGGAGCACGGCGGGTGCTGGGGCCAAGGGAGGGACCCCTCCGGGCCCTGCAGGGCTGATGGAGCAGGGTCAGTTTGGTGAGGGTTGGGGGTTAATGGTGCGGTGAAGTTAGGGTGAAGAATGGGGTAAAGGCGGCAGGTGGAGGAGGAGGAGGAGCCTGTGCCAACCCCAGGGGCCACAGGTCACCATTGTCGCCACTGTCTCCCATCTCTTCTGCTCGCCAATCCCCGTGCAAAACCTCCTGACTGTTATAGGCCAGTACCACCTTCCCCAGGACCCTTCCCTCCTTCTCTCTCCCTCTTTCTTGCTTTTTTGTTTGTTTGTTTTGTTGTTTGATTTCCCAAAACTTGAAAGCCTTTGGCTGCAGAGAACGGAGACGTGCCGCCAGGGTGGGATGGGAGCGGGTGGAGGGATGGCAGCTCCCCACGGACCTTGTCTTTCAGGGCTGGTGCTTTTGGAGGGCAAGGGTCAGCTCACGGGCGATGCAGCCCAGCTGGGGGCCCAGTGATGGTCTCATGACATGGCCACCACAGTGATACTGGGAGGGGGACACAGGGTGCCTCCCCGACCTTCCCCTACAAAGCGAGTCTCGGCCATGGCCCCGGGAGCCCAGAGCACCAAAATCCACCCTGGACAGCCTCCCTCCCTCCCTGCACATCCAGCGCTGGGATGGCACCACCTGTCCTGTCCCCCCCACCCTGGGGAGAG